TATCTCGTTCAAGAGATTTAAAACCTTGGATGCAGGTGATGCTTCCTTGCATGCACTTCGTTCAAGAGTGAGTGGACGAGAGGTGCTGGCGTGCTGCTGCGTGCATGCAGGATGGGCGATCAAGGCGCAGTGCAGGGGGAGCATGCAGTCGACGATCTGGTCCTGCTGCTGCCGCCGTTTGCATGCTGGCGCTGCCCTTGCGCTTGCAGAGAAGGAACGTGTGGCTGCATGCCTGTTTCGTTGACCGAGAGAGAGGCAAGCGCAGGCGCCTTCCCCGCCGCCTGTTTGCATGCGTATACGAGAGAGAGAGAGAGAGAGAGACCGCGCTTGGGGCGCGTGTGAAGGAGAGCGCCTGTTGTTCCGTTTGACCAACGCAAAACAAAGGGAGCAGGGAACGTGTGGGGCAGCCCTGCATGCGCGCATGCAGTGGAGAGCGCGCCTGGCTGCTGTGCCTGCATACGGTGACGATAATTGTATACTCCAGACGGGACCGACACACCCTACTCACGCCGAACCTGACCTCCTCGACCACTCACTCCCGCAGCGCTCGTGCCCCTCCCATTCCACTGCTGCCCCAACCGCCTGCCCATCGGGACGGATTCCGTGTGCCGCGCGCCAACTCGATGTGGCCCTGCTCGTCTGTCGGTGCTCCCTCCCTCTCCCCCTCCGCGACCTCCATTGCTACCCCGCGTCCCCAGCAACCTAGCTCCCGCTCCCCCCACCTGAGACAAGGACGGCGGCGGCGGCTCCGACGAGGTAGGTCGGTCCTCCTCTGGATCTGAGCCCTCCTCCTCCTCCTCCTCTGGATCTGAGAGACGCGGTGGTGGCTAGGGTTCCGATGAGCTTTGGGGTCCTATTCCCTCCTCCCTCCGGATGGGCCAGGGGCTAGAGCGCCCTACACCTCGAACCCATCCCCTTGTTGTTTGTTTGTTTTTTTGCTGTTTTCTTCGTGTTGCTAGGGGATTTTTGGAATATTGCAACAGATGATTTTCTAATGTTGCAATAGGGTGATTCATGTGTTGCAGAAAGGGAGTTATGTTGGGATTTGTAATTTTTTTCCTAATGTTGCAACAGATGGTATAATTGTTGAAATTACCTTTTTCAAATGTTGCAGCACTGAAAGATGATTTGAGATGTTTTGATTTCCATGTTTCACGGTTGATTTTGCAATGTTGTAGTACTACTGTTGGAGATGTTGTAGTACACATTTTTTGATGTTGCAGTACATAATTTTTGATGTTGCGGTACATATTTTTCGATGTTACACTATATAGTTTTGCGATGTTGCAGTATTTATATTCCGATGTTGCACTATATAGTTTACATAATTTTGTGATGTTGCACTTGAAAGTGTTTCGTGCTCTTGGGACACGGGCGCGGTGGGGAAGTAGGCGTGGGGAACGGGGCGTAGGGGAGTGGGGCACTGACGGGGAGCAGGGGATAGGGGGCTCGGTGGGGCAGCGGGGTGTGGGGACAAGGGCGGGGCGCGGATGGCGTGGTGGCCGAGGGGCGTCGAAGGCGGCGTCTGAGTGGCGTGGGATGGGCCATCTGCGATTGGCGTGGTTACATTCGATCAGATTCGAATTGGTAGGGATCGGATGGTTCCTGGCACGACAATCGAACGCCCGAGAATCGCGTCCGACGCCAGCGTTCTCACGACGGACGTCCGGGCGCTAGGATAATCGATACGGCAAAGTAGGAGGATCTAGACCCCATAAGAGGGAGTCAGACTAGTTCGCGCGGACAAGAGTAGTTGCGTGCGCGCACTGCATGGGAGTCAGACTGTGGTAAGGGGTAGCGTCGGACGGCACTTGGATACTGTTCACATGCGGTAGAGGGAAAGAGCGCTCGCTCTAGTGAGGGTCGGACCGGGCAAGATCTGACGAACCCTTGTCGGACTGAGTCCCACCGCGTCTACTGCTCTCGGGAAGTTTCTAGAGTGGCTCGGTCCCGGTAAGTCGAACTGATCCGACCGGTCCCAAAGTGGTCCTACCGTGGTGCAAAACTAGCCATTTGGCGTGGTATCGGCTATATTAGTCGCCTTGTTCACTTGAACTTATCAGCCCATCTTATCAGCCATGGTACAATGTTTTTCTCTCACAACAAAATAACATCAGCTGACTTATCAGCCGTGGAAACCATCAGCCGAACAACCCCTCAAACAGCTAGTACACGTGGCGAAAATCCATGGGTTGGACCATGAGTCGGACTGGTCCGACGGTCTCGACAAACTGGTCCTACGGTCGGTTTGCTGGCAGTTTTGATTGTTAATGGCTCTATTTGGCTTGGGGGCTATAAATAGAGATGTTGGCCGGCCATTTGAGCAATAGAGCACCTCTGGGGATGTGTTGCCCTTGTGTTGTGCTCACACTCAGGCCTCTAACTCACATGTGATCGATAAGGTTCATCTCCGATAGTGAGTGTGCGATTCCTAGTGCGTTGCATTGAATGATTGCATCAAATGGCACTAGGTAATTGAGTTGCAAGCTGGTGGTGCTTGTTACTCTTGGAGATTGCCACCTCCTAGATGGCTTGGTGGCATGTTCTCCATCGTGAAGCCCGCAAGAAGCTTGTGTGGTGCTCCAGAGAAGAGCTTTGTGAGGGGTGTTGTGCTCGCCCCACAGGAGACAATAAGAGCAACTCTAGTTGAGCGAGTGAAAGTCCTAGTTTAGTTTTAGTTAATTGATGAAACCCATTGGACTAATCCTTGTATCTAAGTGTACGACTAGATAGGATGGTCCAATGCCATGTGTTGGAGCAAGATGAAGTCCATGGTGATGTTGGTGGACATGTGATAATGATCAAGCTCTAAACTTGGAAATGAAGAAAGAGAAAAATAAAATGGGCTCAAGGCAAAGGTATATTTGATAGGGTTTTGCCACTCAAGACACCAAGTGGGTGTGAGTGGGTTTAGGATAGATAGTCGTACTATGAGGAGGAGCAAAATTCATTTGTGAAATGTGGTTATCAAAGTGTCACTAGATGCTCTAACTCATTGCATGACGAAAATGCATTCGTCACCTATTACCCTTAGCTAAAGGTGTTCTGCGACAAAACTAATATTATCGTCATAATTATGTGACGTTCATACTTGCATCGTTGATTTACGACATTCGATTTTCGTCGTTATCAAGTAGAGAGAACATCACAAAAAATTTGACCATAGATGACTATACATGTGCCACGTAGGACAAAAAAGATCGTCATAAAATATTATTGTCATATGATGTGGTAGGATCTGACATGGCACATTGCAGCTCACAAGAAGTCCATTGAACAATATACAACCCATCGCAGCATTGCAGATAGAAATCATTTGTCAACCATCAAGTGCTCACATTCATTACATCATAGATCCATTCAGAGTTACATGTTCAAATAATTTCACATGTCAAACTGAACCCAAAATACATTAAACTCATGTCCAAGTCACTACCATATCCACCCAAGTGGCAAAATCAGCAGCCACATATCCAAGGCATTACCAAATAGACAACTAGATGCAAACCATTACTAGGTCCGAGCCATTGTACCAAAATAAATAAACAGCCACATATCCAAGCCATGTTGAGGACATGCATCATGATCAGTAGGATAAAAGGAAAAGGTAAGGAGTGACCTAGTCCTTGTTCAACGTGAACAACCGACAAAGAAGATCATTTGTTTCTTCTGCTTGTTTCTTCAAATTTCCAATCTCTTACGTCTGCTTCTCTCTTGCTTCCTCGATTCCTCAACCTTTTCTTCAACGCTTCCAACTCATCCTGCTGGCAATGAAGTTGATCTAAGTGCTGCAGCACCTTACTTCTCAGCCACAACTTCAACCTCCAGCTCTTGTACACGCAGCAGCAGCAGTAGCGCTTCTCTTGGGGACTGCTATGTCAAGGCCAACATTTGAAGAAATTTACTTGATGGCAAAACATGAGCAAAAAACTTCAGCAGGAGTCTTTGGTTGTCCCCCTTCTGGTGTAGGCTGAGCCATCATGTTATCCATTTGACCCTAACATGATAAGAAAAATAGTTTGCATTAGTATACAAGTGTAGGTACTTTAATATATGCTGCTGCTGCTGCAAACTGTAGCATGAAACGACTGTTCTATATGCATAATTAAACATTTGATAAAGAACTTGTAGCATGAAACGACTATTCTGTATGCATAATTAAACTATTAAAGTAGAAAAGTAGCATGTCCACTTTACACTATGGCAACATCATGTCATATTAAAATTCTGTGATTCACTTAAAGGTGCAGAAATAAAATAGCATTAATTTGTTCTCTCCTAGTTCCCACAAGCAACAGATGAGTCTTCTTTTCGCAGCCTTGCAGAAATAAAATAACAAGCACATAACCAACGAGGAGAAGCCATGTAGTATTGCAGGAGCACACTAAGCAAGTATTGTAAGTTATTAGACTGGAACTTAAAAGATAGCTAAAGGTTGAGCTGAGTCTGCTAACCAATGTAGAACTCAAAATTGCTGCTGCTGCAACATTGTAATCAGTCATATAGAAGGTTCATTTTATTGATGGGACATTGTATATTATTAGGTTCATGGTATTAATCAGTCTAAGGAGATACTTTCCCACGGTTGCTGATGTTTTTGATACACCTTTCCTATAAGATATATCGTAGTATGAAAGGATCAGATTATAAAGGTAGTTTCTAGAAAACTACTACATATATCAATGCCATTTCGTTTTTAGTACCAGCTACTAGTTTGTGTACTGGAAGTAAAATGCCATCATTATTTTGCGAACAAATGCAGATATAGTGTCCAGCGTATAATAAGACTATTTTGTCAATCATAATATTAATATGTAAACAAGTTAAGCTTCATTCAGACAAACTGTGAGCAATCAAATTAAATTATCCATTTAACTCTATACCTTATCCTTAGGGCTTGACCACAGCTCCGTAATGCAATCCATTGTTCATCAGTCCATACTCCTCACGGCGATGTTGTTCGACTTCATTTGCAGGTACTCCATCAAAGTAAGCCCTCTTCACTTGTGCCTTAATTGCCGTTGCCGAGTCTTGAGCAAATCAAAGCATGCAGCTTCAACTTCCTTGTCATCTGGGTCTATGGAAAATTTGATCTAGTGAAGAGCATGTCAAGAGCACATAGATTAGAAAAGAGGCATTCAAACCATAACAAAAAAGAGAACATTAATTGCGCTGTTGGAAAGGCTTTCTTCTACTTACGCCCATCTTTCTCATGTAGTTTTTAAAAGGATTTTCATTTTCATCATCATTCTTGTACTCCTGCTTGTATAGTTGAGGTCAAGCAGCAGAAGCAAGACAAATGAATTGAAAGCATAGGCCCAATGGATAAATGTGTGCTTAGGCTATTGAATGAAAGAGTAACCTGTAGCACTACTGTAGGCTTATTTAAAATGCATAGATGAATAGGTACTCATCACTCATCAGGCAATTAGTAATTGGTAGTACAGATGAATAGCTATTGTATAAATGAGTTAATTCAAACCTCTTTGTCTGAAAATAGCACTAATTTCAGCTATCGTAAGTTCTGCAATAATAGCAGAGGATTTCAGCAGGATGTCTGAAATTAGCATCAGGTAGCTTACTGATCCAGCGAAGGATGCATCAAGTCAGGACAAACAGAGATTGATTTATCTAAGCCAAACTTTCAAAAAATTCTGAAAGATGAAAAAATGATCCCAAGAAAATCCACTGTCATCAAGGAACAATACGTTGCCCCAGAACTCATGTGAATTATGATGCCTTGTTAATCCTAAATTAGGACAATATTAACATGAGATCTATCTGTTAGATTTAGACTACAAGCCACATAAGTGATATCTGAAAATATGATACTGAGACCAAGATGCACAAAAAAGGAATTAGCTAGAAATAGAACAAACTGTGATTAAGCACCAGGAACAGAAACATGATTTTTAATCATTGCAAAATTGATGAATCAGCAGATACTAATCACTTCCATAAACTGCTACAAAACATGATTTTAATCAATGCAAAATTTCGACATGTTAAAAAAGTTGATAATGGGAACATCCAATCCATCAGTGAAGATAGCGAGTTTCTTTCAAACTACACACTACAATGATCTTCATACTGCTAAGCTAAAATGCTTGGTGCTAATATAGGTACCAATTTTAAAGGTGATCCATTATATAGATATCGAAACAAAAAGTTCCAGCCTCCCAATCATACTTATTTAACACAGCTAGTGCATCTCAGCCCCTAGTAGAATATTGTAGCACTCACTTGTAGCCATCTGATTTAACAAATAGCTTAGATTGTACAAATAGCACTCACTTGTACCCATCTGATTAAAAATTACAAATAAAAAGACCACACTGCAATTGTATGGACTACATTTACAATTTAACAAGAGGATACACGGGCAAAAGGGGACTATTGAATAACAAAATCATTTGATTGGAAATTTTCTAGCAATTCTTGGTGATAAGGTCTTAAGACAAATAAAGATGGTAGACGATGAACCTTTCCCATTGTCTTCCTCATACATGGTGAGCAGATTCACTACGCTAAAAAGTAGAGGCAAACCTAGAACTGGGGGATTCACTTAAATCCCACAAAAAATCAGAGAAAAAAAATGAAAGGGTACTACCCCTACGGCACTACACAAGTTCACGCAACAAGCAACTGAAAACCCTAACAGTAACTCAAAAATTTCAACAGATTTTTAGGAGTTTGTTTACCTCTTGGTTGTTGGCTGCTTGCTCCAACCTTCTGACCAGGAGCCATGGTGCTCCCACCTTTCGAAGTGGCACGTGGAGTGGAGGGAGGGGGTCACGGCCTTGGTGGGGAGGCGAGGGGAAGTCGCACCTTGACCAGACGGACGGTGTCTGCTGCTTGAGTCGGCGTGAGGAGTGGGGGGCGACGTCTGCTGGGAGCGACGCCCGCTCGGGTCGGGCGGGAGAGGAGGCGCCTCTTTGCGTCGAGGGTCGGTAGGGTGAAGTGAGGGGGTGGCAATTTAGATTTGGGAGAAATAGGAGGCATGTGGTGTCGGCGGGATAGAAATAGATGGCGGCAGGAGAAAATTTTGGGACAGTTTTCACCGGGAGAAAGAGGGAGCGCATGGCGTCGGCGGGAGAAGAATGGTGGCGTCGGATGAATTTTTTGCGCTCAGCGTCGGCGAGAGAAGAAGCTAGTGGCGGCGGATGAATTTTTTGCTCCTGGCGTCGGTGGGAGAAGGTGCAAGCGTAGTAGCGGCAGATGGTTTTTTGCTTTGGGTCCAGAGAGCTAGGGTTTAGTGAGACTGCTGGGCCTAATGGGCTGTTTTTTAGAACATAAAAAAATTAATGGTTTATTGAGACTGCTGGGCCTAATGGGCTCTTTTTAGAATAGAAAAAATTAAGGATGGAAAAGAAAAATATTGAAATCTCATAGTCATGAAAGCAACTCTTCCTATTTTTCATGCGAAAAATATACGCGTATGGCTAATGGGATTTGAACCTCCAACTTGCAACCTCACGTGTAGCACCCCTAATCACTCCACCTCAAAGTCATTTGAGACTAAATAGATGATATTTTTCTTTAGTAGTCTAGATATTGTTGATCTCATCTAGACATAGAACATTTGGTTTTAGTTGTTTCTCCATCCAATGTTGTTTAGACAATTCAAGAAAATTATAATTCAAAATATCATATGTGAAGTTGAGCTTATCATGTTAAAATTCAAATCATAAGTTGCGACAATTGTCTATTAGCATGTCATGACAAATTGCAACTCATCGTAATATGGAAATCCTTCGATTTACGATGATTGCTTCAAGATCTTAGTGACGGACAAATAATTTTCATCGTAAAGTCATACTCCCACCAAATAACATCGTAAAACAAAATGACTTAGTGACAAATTTAGTGTTGTCATGAGAAAATCGTCAATAGAAGGTCATACTTCTTGTAGTGGCGGTTTGCCTTTGTCATACTTGAACGCTTATATAAACCCGGTAGTAAATCGAGTATCACGGCGGGTCTCGATTAACAATCAACATACAACCAAGATCGTACATGATTCAACATACATGTCACATGTTACATAAGGTTCACAAATACAGTTCATTCATTAGAGTACGAATTAAGGTTATTACAAATCAAGTTCAGTAATAGTAGCAGAAGTAAATTAAAGTTTGAAACTAACATATGCCATCATAGTTCAAATATATAGTGCCAGTTCATGATCACACTCCCACAAAAGCATATAAGAAGGATTAATAAGAGATGCCTGCTCAGGGTTCACTCCTCGTCCACGGTGGGACAGAAGCAGTTCTTGCAATAGCCATGATAAACTGCACCATCTGCAACAATGGAAATAAAACCCTGAGTACGAGAAGGTACTCAGCTAGACTTACCCATCATAAACTAAAAATAATGTGACTCCAAGAATTATGCAAGGCTTTATAAGTGGAGGTAGCTTGACAACATTTTGCATAAAAAGTGACTAACTCAGTTGTACAATTATAATTTGGTCATCAAGTTAATTATATCTATTCATCTCTAGATTAACAACTAACCTATGCCAAACATGTGGTATATCATTTAGTAGCATACAATAGTAACCATAGCCGGTGTAGTAATTCCATGTTCATCTGAACCATCACATTCCATAACACAGTAACTATGTTGTTGGAACTAACCAAGTTTCTTACTGTCCGGAAGAGACGGCGATTCGAATCGATTTCAACCAGCTGGGAATTTATTCCTGATACAAATCTAGGTAGACCAGATCAATGGTCACCTTAGGTCACCTTTGGTACAACTCAGGTACACATTTCGCGGGTTCGCCCAGCGCCGCACAATTAGAGACAACCAGCTGCCAGGACGATCAGTACCACCCTAACCTTGGGCTCATGCCTGGCTCCCCACACATCCTTACTACCATCTAGAGTGCGCACTCTAATAGAACGAGGCTCGGCTTGAGTTGAGCTACTCGGCTTCGTGGTCAGAATGAGTTATTCGGCCAGCTAAGTGAGAGGCATGCGTTTAATCTTGTCAGAAGTGCCAACAACGGTACGGTCCTTAATCGGCACAGACAGAATCACATGAGTCAACCTACACATAGACAATGTCCAGCCTCCATTTACATTACCCCATGATTCTTATCCACGATAGCAAATATAGCCAATCGTGCTTCGGTATCCACCTATATCTCACAGGTGATAGGAAATCACCCGACTTCTACCAGTCTAAGCATGGCTAAACATATATTCGATCCTAGACCCACACAGGGTTAAAGGTATATGTAATTGGACAAGGTAGTTCTATGCATCAAGTGTTTCCAATCAACCCTATAACCTAATGCATCAAACATAAAGGACTCAAGTGATATTTTGTAAAACATAGGAGACTTAGAATGCTTTGGGGCTTGCCTTTGAGGAAAGTGGTTGGCCGGTGATCTAGACACTTAGGGAGATCTTCCAGAGTCTTCTCCTCTTCTCCTAGATCTACAGCCTGAGGCATCTCCCGCTATTCCTCCTCCTCTTCTTTGTTGAACTCTAATAGAGTTATTTCTTCGAACGATCCTATATGCATGAGCATGAAATAAGATATCATGAATGCATATATGATGACATGTATAGTATGATATGATGTGATGAATGCATCCTCCCAAGTATTTTCAACAGCTTTGCATCGAAGTAATAACAAGTTGCAACTTATTTTACAGAGTAGGTGCCTATCTCTTTTCTAATAACTAAACAAACACTTATGTAAATTATTTTCTGGACTACAAGATAACAACCACTTGTTTTGACCATAACTAGAGTTATACACATCAAAATAATATGGTTGTGAACATTCTGGAAAGCTTATAAAATTTCCTACAACTTTCTTTCAATCATCTTAATGTGATTCATCAGTTATCTAGGTTAAACAAATCCATCCTTCAAATCTGTCTAGAGAGCAAGCATTTCTAATAGCCGACTTCTAACAGCCATAATTCTTAACCCATAAGGCCTATAACTATGAAAATTTAACACAAGGTACATAAGTAAGTTATCTACAATTTTGTTATTAACAAGTTTTACAGAAAAGACCATTATCATCATGAAATTATCAACTCAATCGAAACTATACATGCAACCATCTAGTTGAATTATAAAGCAATAATTAACTAGTTGCATACAACCAATTGCTTTTAAGCCGAACCAATAACATCAACAAATCATATGCATCACAATAACCATAGAAAACATTATGGTTAAACATAACTAAATTATTTATATCCATTTATTAATTTCCTTAGATAATAAGGTGATTTAAAGGATAAATATTTCCATTTCTTAATAAATTCTGAGAAAATTACAGTAGCCTACAAATGACCCTAATAGTCCACTATACAAATTTCGTGCCATTTGGATAAGTATAACTACCTTTACAAAAATGACAAGTTACATAGGATTATTTTAGCAAAAAAAGTTTAGTATAGTGAAAAGTGTCAAGCAATAGATTTAATATTTTTATTACATTCCTCCAAGAATAAGAATACTGTGTAAAAATTTGTAAGATCATATGTTATGTATTTTTACCCCAATTAATTTCACTAGAAACTAGCAATTAATTAGGATTAAATATGAAGACCATATTTCAAGTATGCTTAATGTAGGTTTAGTATTTTTCCTAGCTATAGCATGTCAACACAAGACCAGAAAAATTGGAATCACAATTTTATCACCTTTCGAGCTCAAGTTATGCATTTTACAAGATATACACTACTTTAAAGCACTTATCTTGCTCAATTTAATTCTCCCAGAAAAATACCCTAAACAGTATATTTCATATTTTCATCAAATACTACACTTCATGAGGAATCCAACAAAATTTGGTTCACCAAAATTGGACACTCCTAGCTTGAGATATGAATTTTTGAAACATGCATTCAAATATGTGAAATAAATCCAAAAAATCAAATCATATCCGACTGACAGCTGGGGCCCACAGTCAACGGGGACCCACTTGTTAGCAAGACAAAATAGGGGACGGTGCTGACCGATGAGAACTCGCCAATGGCAAGGTCTCTGGCGGTAGCATCTTCAGCATTGCACTCTTCTCACCCCCGCGCATCGACTGGTAGGCTTAGTTGTCTCGGTGGCTTGTCGGAGCAAGCTCGATGGCGGCCATGGTGGAGGTCAGCGGTGGTACGTTGGCCATCTCTGGCTATGGCACACTCAGGCAAGGATGTCTACTCCATCCTGGTGACCTAGCGAAGCTACATGGTGTTGGTGAGGGCTCGGGGTGGCGTCGATGAGCTTGGCCATGCGCATGGCCATGCGGCGGCGCACAAAGCATGGTGGTGTTCATGCTGTTCTGGCTAGACGGCAGGGAAAGGTGGGTCTCTATCATGCCACTAGCGAGGTCTAGGGTTACTCGACCTAAGGCGTGAGAGAAAGGAGGGTGATGAACCAACTCGGCGGTGGTAAGCTCGAGTGCCACGGTGGCCGTGGCAGGTGCAGGCGGAGCGGCGACTCATTCCGGCGCTGTCAAGTAGTGGCGTCATTCCTAACTCTGACCTAAGCTTCTAGACTCTAGCATGATGCTGGACCAAAGAAAATGAAGGCATGCAGTGCGGTGGAATGGCGGGGCCACGGTGAGTCGCGAGCGTGGTGGCGCTCCGATGACTACGGTGGCTATGGCGAGGCGAAATGCCTTTTTACCTGGGGTCGATAGGTGGTGCTGGTGGCTCAAGGAGGTGGAGGTGATGGCATAGCAGCTATGGCCTAGACGAATTGGTCGGTGGAGCTACG